AATATTTGCTGATAGCACGGCCAAGGCTGCAGTGGTTGATTTTGTTCTTTTAGTGTTTTGCATTGTGAAAGTAAAATTAGGAGAAGAAAGATGTGTATAGTACGGTTTAAATGAGTAGAAACGATTAAAGTGCTATTTTTTTTAAACAATAATTTTTATGGTTGTTAACTGCGGGTGAGAAAGTGCCGAGAGTTTTTTTTTAAAAAAAATTTCAAAGTTTATGTTATTTATAGAAAAATTAATGGTATTGCATTAAAAATTTTTGTTACTCAGACTCAAAAAAAAATTTATATATCACCTCAAATAATTATAACCCATGACAAAATTCAAATTAGACAGTCCTTTTTTGATAAGATGAATCGAAATAATAATAGATAACTTAAAAATTGTACTGATTAATAATTATTATTTTTTATATACATTATTAAAGGGGAAGTTTACTACATCTATGCAATAAAGCTATAATTGGTCAAATAAAACGCTGTTGGCAAGAATGTCATAAGAGTCATTAGTCAACTTGAATTTTTGTCTAAGGGTTTCCTAAAAATTGTTAAAAGTCATATGCTTCGATGAAATTTTTTCTGTGTAATCAATAAATATGATTACCAGTATCGATAATACAAAAATTTCTTTAATATAATATCTTGTAACACAAAAAATATTGATTAATTAACGTCATCTCAACCCATGACAAAATTCTAATAATTACAGTCGATTTTTTATTAATCAAATAATAATACTCGAATTTTAGATATCTTATACAAAAAATTTATGTGCTTCGATGAAATTTTTTCTGTGTAATCAATAAATATGATTACCAGTTTTTAATATAATATTATGTGACTACTATTAATAATATATATGACCCAACCTCAAATTAATATCCCCGTTAGTATACAATTATTATATTCATTTTTGATAATTCTTATATAAAAAATTTATGTGCTTTTAATTCGTAAATATGATAGATGGTTTCGGTTTAATAAAAAAAATATGATAACGTATTCACTATCAAATATATATTATCAAAGCGATATAATATGCATAAATATGTATTATACAATGGATGATATAAAATATTTAAATTTATAGTCTTTCTATATAAAAAATTTATAATTGTATTTAAATAATCTCAGCCCATTTAATAAAAATAAATTAACAATAGATAATTGAATTATAATAAATATTTGTATAAACTTAATAAATTTTCGAATTATCTTAATGAAATTCAATTGATTCCTATACATGTTTTTATTTATTTATAATAATTTATTATGCTATGTTGATAATAAAAAAGCTTAAAACATGTGTCACAGTAAATTAATATTATTATAATAATTTGATTATGTAAAAGTAATCTATAACCAAATAAACTGGGTAACCCCTCCATTAGTGCCTATGAAAAAATTTCATGATAATCGTTAAATTTTTTTTTTTTTTTGATAATCTTTCCTTAATTATATTATCTAGTATATAAACCAGGTAACCCTCAAATAGTACCCATGACAAATTTCATGATATTTGTTAAACTTTTTTTTTTGATAATCTTTCCTTAATTATATTGTCTAATGGTATCATATCATGATATTTTAAACTATTTTTTAAACTTTCTTCACATTGATATTATGCTTTTTTCTTATCTGATGCAATAAATAATAGTTATTAATATTACATCAGATTTAATAGATAAATTATTATAGCTTCAAATAATAACTATTCATTAGACTATATGTATTTTATGTATTATGCATCTTATCAAAAAAAAAAATCAGTTAATAATTTTTATGCATTATTCATGAATTATTAACCAATTTTTTTTTGATAAGATGCATAATATTTTGTCTCATTTAGAAAAATTTTCACATGGTATTGTTCTTTTTTTCTGTGTTGCACTATTATGATTCAAATCTGATATAATAATTAAATCTGATGTAATATTATTTACATCAAAGAAATTTGATTTTCTTTTTGAAATCAAAATTATTATGAACAAAATGACTTCTCTTATTAAAAAAATTAAGAATTTTTCACCTGGTACGAATGAATTTAGTTATATATTATTTTAGTGATGTTTTTTTAAAAAACTTTTGTATTTATTATTAAATTTTTAATTTTTAAAACTTTAGTACATATTATTAAATAAAGAAACGAAACAAAAGAAACAAAAGTGAGGTTGGCAGCAGAGAAGATGGAGGAAATTTATTTTGGTCTCAACGACCAAAATTAAAAGGAACTTATGAGGTTGCCAACTAATAAACATAAATTAATCTTTCTTGAGAAATTAATGAATAATGTAAGAAAATTTTTTTTATAATTAATATATGATAATAATATAATAATAATAATAATAAGATTATACTTATTATGATTTCTAATATTATAGGAGCATTGAACGTGAGGAGGAAGGTGAAAAAGTTGAAGAGGTGTGGTATCCATTAAATGAGGAAGAACTTGATGTGTTTTTGGGGAGGAAGAGGGTGACATGGGGTGAAAACGAAGTTAGGGAATTTAGAGAATATGAAACTAGAAGAGAGAAGTGGTGGAGAAAGTTGAAGGAATATATGCATGTAAAGTTGTAGAAGTTGTTTTTTTAGAATTCAATTTATTAATAAATCATAAAAAATTTTCTTTCTCTTTTATTTTTAAAAAAATTTTTGATTTCTTCAAATGAAAACGAAGTGGCACCAATTCGAATGCAACAATTAAGAACTATCATCAGTCTGCAGAACAAAAAGAGTGATAGACAGATCTTGGGACGCCAAGAATTCTAAATGGATATATAATCAAAGCATAATTCAAACATCAACTTAATATCCAACACGAGCCACTCAATTACCAATATTTCAAATGAGAGAGGTAAGCACTATCAAATTCGAATATAACGTGGTAAAGAAAGACTAGTATACTAAAAACAATAAATACATAAGACAAGGAATATTATGTCTAGAATAATTACTAAATGCAGACCTCAGAGCCACACACTACATCAGATGCTCCTCAATCTCCAGGAAAAAAAAGCCAAATGGTATTGTATGAAGATCTAATAATATATATCGAAGTAAATTGTGTAAAGTAAATTGTCATGTAAATTGTATTAATAAATTATTAATATTGTCTTAATATTGATTTCTGACCTGAAAGATCAAATGATCATAACTTTCATTTTTTACTAAATCAGCTTGTTCCAATAACCATATCTTAAACTCATTTTGAGTGGGACACTGAAGAGGATAATGTTTCTTTATAATTGATATTCCTCTAAGTATTTCTTTTCGTATCAAAATCTAATTCTTGTGATAATTTTTTACTAATAATATCATCATTTTCTTGTCATCATTATCAATATTTAAGTAAAGTCAATTAGATAATTCACACCATGATCCTATTACATCCGAAAAAGATGAAAAAAATAGAATTTACTTGCTGATTAAACACGTCATCTACCTCCCCCTTTAACCATCATATTTGGATCGATAAAATTAGTGTTAAATAATGTACAATTTACTCGAAATTCATTATCCTCCTATTTTTTCATACTGAATTGTTAATAAAGTTAACCCATCAGATCGTATCATTAGTGATCTTCATCGTCTCCTTGTTTCTACGAATGATACTTGATATAAAAGATGTGATGAAACTACGATATTATTTCCTTCTTCGGATGAGTGAGAATTTAAAAGACGAGAAATGAGATTTATTCTTAATGAGCCAATGAATTATTTAATAAATAAATATGATTAATAAAAATATAAAATTAAAATAAAATAATAAATTTTTAATTCAATAAGAAACATGAATTATATAGTAATAATAAATGAAAATAAAATAATAAGTGATCATTACCTACATCGCTGCTCCAATAACCAAAGTAGCTTTCTTTTTGATTTCATTCGAATCATAATTTAAAAGTGAAATTATAGATTTCAATCCTTCCCCTTTAGATAATTTAATACCAAAATCAGGTTAATGAACGATTTCTTCTAATCTATCTAACACTGATAATATCTTTGCATTAGAGGATAATGGTGACGATAATGATAGGATTAATTGAGAAATATAATTATCAAAGAGAAAATTTTCTGAATGCGAAATTCAACCATTTTCTTTATGTCGTTGTGGTAACTGCAGTAGTTGGGTTCTGGTTTCTTTTGAATAATTGATAAAAGTATAATTATAATTCTTGTACTTATTTCAATTGCTATAGCTACCCATATACTCATTTTTACTATTATCAAGATTCAACGTATCATATAATAAATCTTTTATTGATTCACACATTTTACTCGAAATTCATTATTCCTCTAATTTTTCATACCAAATTGCTAATAGAGTTACTGATCTTCATTGTCTCCTTGTTTCCTCGAACGATACTAGATATGGCAAATAAAAGATGTGATGAAACTACAATATTGTTTTCTTCTTGAGATGAGAGAGAATTTAAAAGTCAAGGAATGAGATTCATTCTTAGTGAGCCAATGGATTATTCTATAATAAATATGATTTAAAATAAAATAAATTAATTAATTTATTTCAATAAGAAATATGAATTATATAATAAAAATAAAATAATAAATAATCCGCATCGCAGCACCAATAATCAAAGCAGCTTTTTTCTTAACTTCATTTGAATTATGATTTAAGAATGAAAATATAGATTTCAATCCTTCCTCTTTAGATAATTTAAAACCAAATCAAGTTCATGAACCAATTCTTCTAATCCATCTAATACTGATAATTTCTTTGTTAACGATTGCTGTTGTTGTGAAAATGAGGATGATGATGACGATAATGAGTGGATTAATTGAGAAATATAATTATCAAAGAGTAAATGGTCTGAATGTGAAATACAAATAATTTCTTATGTCATTGTGGTAATGGAAGTGGTTGAGGTTGTGGACTGCTTTACTCGATCTTCGTTTAAATTTCATATTCAAATTCTTCAGTTTCACTATGGAAATTTCTTCAAGAGAATTAGAAATTAAATTTTAAATTATTAAACAAAACGATTATCATGATAAAAAAGATTACTATTCCATATCTTTGTATGAGTTTTTGTCCAAATAAAGTAAAATCTTGATCAAAAGGAAAATTAACCATTTCACTTTTAAAGCATGCAAAAAAAAAAGTCTATAAAATGAAAAAAAAAATAATAAATTAACAAACAAAATAGATAATTATACAAATAAACTCAGCAACCTAAATAATTCAATGATTCTTAATAAATCCATCCTTATTATTATTTTTTTTTAATATTTTTTTTTGAAAAAAGAAGATAAGAAATAGAAAGTTATAAATGTTGAAAAATGCCCGAACCCTCATCTAATTCCTCTTGGAACTGTAGTCTTGTTGCTCTTGAGAAATAGTGAACGTTAACATCAGATATTCTTGAGAAGCATCAACCGCTGAAATCATAATTAATTTCTTGTTGTTACTGATACAGTTGTTAAAGTCATTGTTTAAGTTGCTAATAGTTTTTCTTATTTTTGCTGTTGTCATCGTTTTTCTTGTTTTTGCTGTCGCTCTTGTTGTCATCGTTGTTCTTGCTTTTGCTGTTGTTGCTAGTATTAACAGCTTTTTTTTGCTAGGGCAACCATATTTTTCTTTTTTACATTACCTGGGCTTTCTTTTTTTCATAATAATTATTATTATTGTTATTATTTTTTTAATAATGTTCGATATAAATATTTAAATAAAGGATTTTAATAAGATAGTTTGTTAGGGTAAAAATAAATTTTTGCTTTTGTATAATAATGAAAAACTTGTCTTTGCTGATCTTTTTATTTATTAAAAGGAAGAAGAAGAAGGGTATTTGATGATCATAATTAATTAATATAATATGATCTTTTGTAATTTATTCATCATTATGACATATTTTCGTTGATATTCATTTTTTTCTATAATACGAATATACAATTCAAATTAAAATAAAATAAACTATTCAAACTAACTCATTTTTTTTCCTTTTTCCTGATCTGATGTAATTCATCTGTACTGCGATACATATTTTAATATCTGCAAGCTTTTTTTATATTATTATCACATCATTTATTCATTTGATAATCATATATTAGGTCTCAGACCATTGCACCCATGCATTTTCATGAGATTAACATCAAATTTCCAAATTTATCATTAATAATAACGATGACACTTGATCAGGTTTTCAAAGAGCTAAAATATGATTTGACAATAAATGATGGATATATTCTTGTATCACTTAAGGGTATAAAAAATATTATTATATTAATTAATAATTAGACTATAAGAATTCGCACAGTCTAATATCTTGATAGTTATTAGAATTTTCGGATTTTTTAAAAAATAATAATTACCAAAATGGGGCAACAAAGTTCATAATTATAATAGTTATTATAGGGATTTTCACTTTTTTTTCTACATGTGTTTCGTTATTGTTAAAAAAAAATTTTCCCATAAGCCACCGGTAATCATTCCTCTCCTAGTGAAATAATTATCGATCATTCATTTGAATATTCTTAGAATATTCCTTGATCTTTGAATATTCAATAATACAATATATTATAAGATATATTAAATACACTGCGCCGTAATTATAGTATAATTATTCATTTGTTATACATACCATGGAGATAAATGATTACTGTAATATTATTAGATATTTTCTTTATTCGATAATACAGTACAATAGAAATATATTACATTTTAAAATAATTAAATATATTGAGCCGTAATTATAATACGTGTTATTAATTATTACATTATCATACATAGTATAATTATCCATTATATAATTAAAATACAAAATTTGTTTTTATGATTATGATCATTATTAATATTACATGCGATTATATTGAACTTTTAAGGAAGATATCATCATTTAAAAATATATGTAAGTAGTATAAAGTAAATCACTTGTTATTATTAAAAATCTCGTGTTAGCAATTTTTTTCTTTATTATTTTCTTTGTTGTATAACTAAATATTCTTATTGTGTACCGATATATTCATTTAATACAATTATTATATTTTACTTTTTGTACAAAAAGAAGTTATTATCCGATCGACAGAAAAAATATTTGTAACCAACCAATATTTAAATCCCTCTTTTTCTTTTTTTTAGTCTTTTTAGAACAAAATTTTAGAATTTAAAATTTTTTGAAATATTTCTTATTCACTTAAGGTACATTTTTTCCAAGTTTTTTTTTTATTTAAAACAATAATAATAATAATTTAGTCTCATAATTTTATTCTTTTATCTAACGTAGACCATTTTTACATAAACGTTCTAAATAATTCAAAGAAATAAGTACACGATACATAAAGAATTATCAACTCAAGGTACATTTTTTCCAAGCTTTTTTTTATTTAAAACAAAAACTTAAAACTAAACTAATAATAATAATAATTGCAACTCGTAATTTTTACTCTTTTATACAACGTAGACCGTTTTTACACTAAATAATTCAAAGAAATATATATAATTCAAATAAAATGAAAAGTAATAATAAAAAAAATGTAGTCGGAAGAGGTGGAGGAAAAAATAGAGGTGGAAGTGGTGTTGGAGGAAAAAATAGAGGTGGGAGAGAAAAAATAGATAGTAAAAGTAATAGAGGTGGTAGAGGGGGTAGAGGTGTATCGTCAGTGAGAGGAAAAGGAAAGGGAAGACAAGAGGAAGAAAATTCATCCCAATCATCCGATGAAATGGATGATTGGGATAAAGAATTAAAAAGTGAATTATTAGCAAATTTAGGGGTGGCAATTGAAGGTGAAGAGTTGGAGGGAAAATTAGAAGAGGGGGCAGTAATCGAAGGGGAAGAGAATGAGGAGGATCTTGAAAAGGTGATGAAAGAATTAGAAGAGGAGATGGAGAAGGAGTTAAATAAAGAAACGGAAAATAGTAAACGTAGTAGAGGAGAGGATAATTATGAATCCGATGAAGATGTTCCACTTATCAAGCGAAGGAAACGAAGAAGATTGAACGCCACCTCCTCACATGACGACACTTCCTCACATGATCCCAAAGAATATATTCCACTTCGTATTCTAAGGGAACGTAAAAAATCGAAAAAAACCTACGAATATACTACAAGAACATCTACTTCTGCTGATGCCGCCACAACAATTAACAAATATAAAATTCAAACGTTAACTGAATATCAAAAATTGACCAATCACTTCGAACAACAAATAATGAAATATAATAAGATCAAAAGATCTTTGAACTTATATTTCATTAAGTCCGACGAAATTAGAACGGAAATGAATTATTCCGGTTCTACGAATTTTTTGAGAAATAATTTGAAAAAAGTTAAGAAATTATTTGGGGATGATACAAAATGTCAAGAGGAAATTAAATTATTTTATGAAATACAAAATGATCTTAAAATGATAGCAGAAGCATGCAACGAAGCAGAAAAGGTTGGGTTATATGAATAATGGTGATGGTGATGTTTACTTCAGATTTGTAGAATATGTGGTTTCGAATAATTCAATTATTCAATTTTATTAATTAAATATTTCTTTCATTTGTTTTTTCGATTATTTTAGTATAGTTAAATAATAAATTTTAAATAATTTTATAATATAAATAAAGAAAATCATTACACCATTGCCTATTGCAACTAAAATCTTTACTAATAAGAATATAATGAGTTGAAATAAATAAACAAATGAATGAAATGGATACTTGTAATTGATAAAAATTTTAATTTCTTACTTGAATAATTTACTGATTGTCCGGAGTGTAGCGTAGGACATTTAATGTACGCCAAAGTTACATTTTTGATGCAGCAATAAGCAAAATATCAAAAGCGTAGCTTGGGAAAGGAATTCTATTCGATTTTTTGACGAGATCATTAGATAATGATCACATTTTACAATATTATATCTATTTCGGACTTACCATTTTTAGAAATAGCAGTTCTGGAGGTTTAAGATTTGAAAATCATATTTCAAAGTATTTTTTTCTGTCCAGTAATAATCAAGTAATGACCACTATTGAATGAGTCCAGTGATACTGATTTTGCAATCGATAAGCATATTATCGTAAGAATTTTTTCCAAGCATGGCATTTGAGAATCAATTTTCGCTATATATTTGTAAAGGTGTATTGATTCATAAAAAAAAACTCAGAAATTTGAGGTCTTTCGATTGATGTGAAAGAATATCTGCAACAGGATTATAGTCATTTAAATGGTCATTCTTAATAAAATTTATTAGTGTTCAAAGATGTTTATCTATAAATTCGTGCTGGTTATCTAGATTGCAATTCATCATTATGGCATAATTAGTCAAAAAAATTAGAGTCTTCGTATATTAGTTTTATCATTTCAAGAGGAAATTATCGCCAATTACTTCATTCAAAAACATTATAATGAAGATTGTTGTGGATGAATCCATTGTTAATTTTTGGTTTCTTTATTGTACTATTCTGATTTTTTTTCCTCAATGATGAAGTATTCCTTATTGTAAATTTATTTAATTCCATAATAATAAAATTAATTTAAATCATGATTCAAATTTTTTAATTGCTAATAATACTATTCTTGAAATTTTTTCAATTATTCACAAGAGATAATTATTTTATCAGGTAAAATACAATAAATTTTTATTTAAAAATATAAATGAAATAATAAAATTTCATACGATTTTACAAAGAAAGAAATTTCAATCGGAAACAACCACAACTTAATTAAGTACAAACTCAACTGTAATAATGAAAAAAATATATTAGAATATAAAAATAAAAATAAATAATATTTAAATGTTCTTGATAAAATGTTACTTACATGACATCTTACTTCATTTGAATCCTCCTCACTTTCATTATCATTCTCTATTAATATTAAATTGCATTATTTATCATTAATTTATTTGTTCATTATTTATAACTTTTTAAAAAATAAAATATGAAATATACCTTCTAAATTTTCGATTCTACGTTTCCTACCCCATCTCACCAATTCCGATGTTACATCAGGGATTATTACAATTGGCTCAGCAGATGCAGCCAAAAATTTTGAAACCCAGTAATTTACCACATTTTGTTTTTGTTTAATCTGTAGTCAAAATTGTTGTGGAATTTGTTCGGGTTGTCGTTGGATATCATTATTATTATTATTATTTTCACTATTATCATCTCCTATTAATAATAAAAATTATATTATTATTATTTATTTATTGTATTTTTTTTTTTTTTAAATCGATGACTTTAACTCCCATACCCTGAATATTACTCCTCACTTCTGTTGCTACAGCTGCAAGCATTATCAATGAATTTTTGTGTTTCATCCCAACAGCTGTCTCAATATCTTGTTGATATTTAGACATGCTCAACAAATTGTCAGGCGAGACGTTTTCCACGTATTGCTGTGGAATTTGTGATTGTTCTGGAAATTGTAGTTGTTGTACTCGTTGTGGATATTGTGATTGTTGTGGTTGTTGTTGCTTTTGTTTGAATTGATTAATTTGCCAGGTTATTACGTTCATTATTTTCATCTTGAATAAAATGATTAAAAAAAATTTTTTTTTGTTTTTAGGTGAATTGATAAAAGGATGAAAATTCGAATTAATTATTTTGTTTCTCTTATATTTTATTTTCTTTTTCTTGACTATATATAAATTATAAATTTTTAAAATAAAATCCAATAAGATTCAATATTTTAAAGTATTACACCGGATCAAGAAAATTTCTTTTTGTTAAAACATGTTGCTATTTTACAAATATAGTTTGGATTCGTAATAATATCATATCAATATTTACTATCATGTTAACAATCATCTCGTCTAAAAATAATAAAAACATATTCATATTGTTTATCACTGATACATTTAGTTACTTCTGGATCAATTAGTATTTGTACATCTGATTCTTTAATTATATTTTATTATTATTATATTTTGGAGTTTTTTAATATTATTTATTTTAGTGTATTTTATTATAATTTTTTTTTTTTACGAATTTGATTAGCACAAAATATTATACGCCATTTGGATAGTTTTGCATTATTCATATTAAAAATTTCTAAAATAAATTTTATAATACTATAATATTTCTATTACATATGATTGATCAATAGGCCAGAACATTCTTATTATAATTTTAATAATGGGAAAATTAAATAATAAAGGAATTGGTAATCGCATCAGATCCATTATTATTATTTTTTTTTGTCACCCATGATCAATAATATGAGTGATAATAATAATGATAAATTTATACATTCATCAATTCTTGTAGTTAGCTAAGAATTTTTATTCTATTATGCAATTTAATTAATTAATAAAATTTAAAGGGATTTTTTTGTCTAATCTAAAATTTTCTATGAAAAATAAAATTTTATAAAATCTGAAATTCCAAATAGTCAATTAAATTAATTTAATTACAATGCAATGTATTATTTATTGACTTCTTTATTATCTGCTGTAACATGTTATTATTTTTATTATTATCAATTATATTTTTATTATTATTTAATTTATTTAATTACTATATTCATTATTACTATTTAATTAAAAAAATAAAAAGTATTGCGCCCAAAAAAAAAAGTTTAATATATTTCATTATTATTATTATTCAAATAAAAAATATTGCGCCCAAAAAAAAGTTTAATATATTCATTATTATTATTGATTGTATTTACATATTTTATATTAGCCAAATAAAATTATATCAATATTTCAATCAAAAATAATATCTGATATATTACATATATATAAATTTTTTTTATTCAATTATTTTATTTTAATTACACAAAACAATGAAGTATATACAATCGATCAACTCACAATTGAATTCCCCTTTTTTTCAATCTTTTCAGAAAAAGTTTTTTCTTATATCTTTTAATTATTTAATATTACAATACAAAAATTTATTATTATTCAATTATTATTATTTTTGCATTTTGAAATTAATGATAGTAATAATTCAAATCAAATGAAATTATAAAATTTTATATTTATTTATTAGAATATATACTCTATATAGTATAGAAAAAATATAAAATAAAGAATATACAGAATATAGAAAAAAAATCTAAAATATATGGAAAAATATATAAAAAAAAAAAAAGAAAGAAAAACCGCTCTATAGATGTTGAATAAGAAATTGTTACACTAATAACATTTGGGAAATTTCAAGACATTCAAAATTAGAATCATACTTACTAAGGTTTTCATAATCTACATTCTTCACCTTGTCCCCAAACACCAGAGTTCTTTTTAATTTCATATAAAGAAGTATTAACTTCTTCTTGATCGTAGTAATTTTTATTGACCTATAGAAATAAATAATAGGTGATAAATATATGTATATGTAATAATAATTATAATTATAATAAAAATAAAATTTATCCAACGGGTCAAATTATATTGAGTCTTGACGTGGGTTTCTCCAATAAACCATATATCTATTTCTTCATCTTTTCTAATGCCATAAAGTTGACCTCTTCTATCATAAGATTGAATTGCTGACCCAACTTCAACCACTTCACAAAATGAAACTTTCTTATTATTGTTATTCCTGAAATCGGTGACACACCCATATAAAGGTGGGCACACGATTTCAACATTATAATTCTATTTTGAATTAAAAAAAAAATAATTACAATAATCAATTATTATAAATAATAACATAATAATAATATAAGAAACTTTAAATAAAAAATAATAACATACATATTTGCAAATTTTATTTTTGCCAAACAAAGATGGCATATATTTTCTGAATTTACCATTATTACTGTTGTCCTTCTTGTTAACAATTTTGTCATTAATTTTAGCGAATTTTGATTCTATTATAATGAGATGAGTAAATTTAATTTTTAATAAAGTATGAAAACTTTTAATATTATAAGATCAAAGTGAATTCTTGGATAAAAAAAATAATTATTTGCAAGAAAAAAATTAATTAAGAGAAAAGAAAAATAAAAAACAGATAAAAATTGAACCCTTTTTATAATTATTTAATCTCTCCTATTTTTTTATTATTTAATTGGCATCTGAGTGGGTGATCAAAAATCACTGGACAGTTGAAAATTTTTAAAAAAATTACTAAAATTAAAATGCTAATTGTACCACAACGAGTGATCTAATTTGCACA